TGGCTGTCTACATTCCTTCTTCCTGCCTCTCTTCCTTGCCCTCAAAGCCAAATCTCACACCAAGTCTGATTGACATAGTGCTTCTCCTGGGAACTCATTTTCCAGCTCTCTCATCAACATCTGAGCTGGCTCCTGCACATACACATATGCCTCTCTTCAATTACAATACCCAAATCTTCCAGATCTCTCTATTTTGGCATTGACCTGTCTTCAGAGACATGTACATGTATCCTCAGAAGTATAAACTTTGTACCTGAAGAGCTTTTTAATCAATAGATTCAATTTCAATAGCTGACAATATGCAGAAAACCATTTGCTTAATTAATGATAATTGTGTTTGAGACAAAGTTAATTTTAACTGGAAAATTCATATTATTCTGCACCTAAAGGTGATTTGTTTCTGCAGCATACTTTGATATTCCAATGTGTACAAATATATTCAATATTTATGTCTGTTTCTAATACACTAAAATAGTTTTTTTCCCCAGACATTGCAGAGGCTCATTGGCACTGGAGCTTCGTATTGCTTATGTGCAAATACAGGCAAGGAATTGGTCTTTGCAAAATGAACCTAAGCACAGCAACAATAAGAGGTTAATTTCCACTGAACAATTAATACTACCCCAGCTTTTCTGTGAAAGTTCTGTGAAAGTAGAATTATTTGGGGGCTACAGCTCTCTAAACATATCTGAAGAGACATTTCTGAAACATTTGGGTGGATGACTATTAAAACCTTTTAATTGTCTTCATATTGCCACAGCAATCATGTGGAAGTAGCCAAGGGAAGACTATGGAATGAGAATGCCCGAATCTTGTGCTGTGGAGCAGTTATATTACAGTGGAGCTCGAAAGCAGTTTCACTAATTTACAGTGATTAATAATCCCCCCCCCTTTTTTTTTTTTAAACCTGGCATGTTTTTTTGTTCATCTGCAGTCAAGAGGAGTTTGTATTACACCTCTAAACTGCTTGAGCCTGTTAGCATTCCTGCAACTGCATCATGCTGCTAGCTATGACTCCAGGCTGTCCTTCTGATTGCCCACTGATCCTAACAGATGTGGGACTTCCATTTTTTTGTGCTGTTACTTTTGTCAGTTTTTCTGACTTGTTTCACCCAAAAAGTAAAACCACAGAGTAGCAGTCTGTTATGAGATCTATCCTAGGCTTTCAAATCAGTCCTGACTTCCACATGGGTTTATTGTTGAACTGAATAAACTAGTCCAACTCCACCCAGTTACAAAGTGATGTACACAATTTACTGTCAGAACTCTGCATAACAGAGCTTAAAATACATCAGTGCAGTAGGTATCCCCAGGTTATATCACTTCACAGTCTTCCAAATGTTTTTATCTTGGCAGACATGCAGGTTTTGATACTTGGGAAGACATGCAATTGTAATTAGTTTGGCTGCTGTGAAAAGATGTGTGGACAAGTAGCTTTAGTTGAAAGAATGGTTTATGTGCCTCAGGAGAGTTCATGCATTGTGCTGGGCTCCAATTCAAGTTGACCCAAAGCAGAATTGCTCTGTGAGGACTGGTGACTGGTCAGAAGGAAAAGAGGAAGCAAGGATTGAGTCACTATATATCCATGCTTCATTTCTCTGTTGTTCACTTTGGTTTGGCTTCCTGCTCTAGCTTTAAAGGAAGTATGCCAAAACATACATTGTAATTATGATACAGTCATAGTTCACAATTTCAGTATTGCTTAACAACATAAGCTTGTGGTAAGCTAATTAGACTCTATGCACACTATGATAAAGTTAAGCGATCTTTTACATCCATTTTGACTAATTTGTCCTGAAAGAAAGCTTCTAATTTTGTGTGTCCAGCTCCTAGTATAGACAGACTGGAAAAAGGGCTGATTTTATCTCATTTGAACTAGTTACAGTGTTACACTTCAATTGGCACTTCAGATACATCCATTTCATGCCTATTTGTGTGGCCAGGTTTGGGCTAGAATCTCATCGCAATCTACTTAGTAAAGGAACTTTTCAAACCTTCTGACAGTTCAGGTTATTGGTGCATGGAGCCATATGGATCTTGTCTCAGCATCTAGTGATACTTTGGGGGGCTGCAGACTTCAAGTAATCCAGCCTTATTTACATGTACTGCAAAATCTGGGCACTAACTAAACCACACAGCTGTGCCAGACTCTACAATGAGCACATAGCCTGAAGTTTGTGCCAGCTTCACATCAGCTGCAAGGGAATAGACAATACCTGACCAGGGAGCTAATCTGTCATTGAAAGGCAGCTACTTCAATGCTAACCCATCAGAATATTTACACTGGTTTTACACTGACAATGCAAGTTTGAGAGATCAGTAGTTCCCTCCTCATGGCTGGATGTTCTGCATCATTTGTAGCAGCCTGAGTTACCCACTGTGTTGTCTAACCACAGCCCTGAGAACTCTAAAACTCACCCTCAGTGCTAAATTTACTTACTGGTCGTCTTCAGCCAGCTTCCAAGGTGGTTATAGTCCGCCCAGAGGAACATTCACGCCGTCATCTCATTTATTTCTTTTTCCTCACGTGCTCTGTTAAATGTAGTTGTACATTAATCATTAGTCATCTGTTAACACACTTACATTCACACATGAATGAGGCCATTGCTATTTAGCATTTGGTTTAAAGACCCCCAGTATAAATTGTTAGCTGCCTCAGAGCTAAATGACAGGCAACTTGCCAGCAGTAGATTTTTATTTTCTTATTATGTAGCTTTAAATGTCTTCCTTAGAAATTTGCTGTACTTTAATTACAAGCGTACAGGGAGACCTGTGCATATGTTTGGTTTGACTGAAAATATCAATTAATGCCAATTTATCAGATTAGCATTTTCATCTCCTCAAGTCATAAAATACATTATTCTGATATTTTTAAGCCAGAGTGTCCATTTTTCTTTGTAATGACACTGTAAGAGTGAGGTTATTTCAACTAAGTGAATTGGAAGCGAAATATCAATCAAAGGATTGGTTAAAATTGGGCACATCATGATTGTGTGATACAAGTACACCTTTAAAGCTCTAGACAGTAATCAAAGAGTTCCCTAGTTTCACTGGCAGGGTCAGCACTCTCAAGATGGCAAGTCACTCAGGTAAGGCAGCTAACTGGCAAAGGTACTAGACAGCTGGACTGGTGACCCAGTGGCCACGCTCCGTGCTGGGAGTACTCTAATACTGTCTGTTCACTATCCTGAACATAACTTACTACATCCTGTAAATAGACTCATAAGCCTGTAAAAGGAAGCTGACACTATTTTGTCTCCTGCCTCTGTTACCAGAGCACAGCTACTGTGAACATTGGGCAGCAAGTTAGTTAGGTATAGCTTGAAGCATTTTCTCACTGGGACCTACAGTATCCAATTTCTCCTTTCTGCCCAGAGTTGCGCAAAGCAGAACAGGCTTCTTAAGCTTTGTTTCTGTTCTACTGTGTATTTTCTCTTTAGCTAGTTCATGCTGGGTAACTAATGAACAGAAAATTGATGTTTTCTTCACCTTGATTATGAAAAAGGGATGGGTTCTATTTGTTCCATGAGAACAAAAAGCACCAGCATATTTTGTCAGATATTATATGTAGGTATTATGTTCTAATTACATATATCAAAGTATGTAACTGTTATATTATTTAATCATTGATAAGTGTCATCATTTTATCCTCTCTAGTAGTCTCTTGCCTTCACTTAGACTGGTGGCTGTAGCCAATCTGTGTGCTCTTGGGCCCTTACTCTCACTGAAGCCCCAGAGCTGCCACACACTGTGTGTGACTGCACCCTGAGAGTAGACAAGGAACTCTATGTCAGTAACAGACGCACCAACAAAATCTCTCTAGCGATCTATCATTTTTCAATTCATTCTCATCCACAATGCCTTCCAAATTAATTAGTGACTTATCTAACATTTTTAAATTAAAAAATGTAGATATTTATGTGTCAAACTAAGCATCCAGCAGAAGAGGTAAGAGGACTTGTTCACCCACAGGAAGCATTCACCCAAATTTAATATTGGTATAGCCTCAACTTGAATACTGTGTGCAGTTCTGCACTCTTCAATTTAAAAAGGATTTTGAAGTCCTTGAAGGCATCCATAAGAGGGCAACATAACCGATCATAGAATGGGAGGCAAGTCCTTTGAGGAGAGGCCAAGAACATTAGGTTGCCCAGCCTAGAAAAGAGAAGATCATTAGGTGGCTTCAACTGTTCCCTGCAGGTCCCTGAAGAAAGAAAGCAGAAAGGGGCTAGGCTCTGCTTGTAAGAGCCAATGACAAGACGCACAGGAATAGCACAGAGCTGTGCTATGGAACATTCAGACTGGATACAAGGAAAAATTTCTTTAGTGTGAGGATGGTGAAACACCTGAGTAGATTTTCTAAAAAGGTGATTGATACCCCATACCTACAAGGATTCAAGAAGATTTGGATAATGCCCTCAGAAGTAGGCTCTAACTTCTGGTTAGTTGAGCCAGGTAGTTGAACTAGTTGATCTTTTGAGGTCTCTTCTAATCAAGAGATTTTATTCTGTTCTATTTCATCTTAACAAGAATCTTCCCTTAAAGAAATAAATAGTCTAGGCTAAGAAGGAATATGTCAGTTTCACTATTAGGCCAATGAACATCCTCTTTTCAAAGCAGATAAATAGAAGAATATGAATGAGTTCTACCTAAGCCTTGCTAGTCAAAGAGCAAGTTACCTCAACTCTCTCTCCTATACTCACTGTCTTTGAAGTGGAAGCTGTAGATACCTGCGTTGATCTCACAGGAAGAATGTAACAATCAGAAAGAACAATACAGAAGGACAGCAATACAGAAGGCATAATAACAAAGGGACTAGCACAAATAAAAAGATGTTACAAAGGAAAAATGCTCACCTGTTGCTAAAGATCTAGGCTTATAGCTAAAACTCTACAAGGGAGGAATCCCCAAACAAAGATCCTTCCATAGTGGCAGTCAGCCCTTAAATGAGGTCTAAGAGAGGTGCAGCCAGGCTCCACTCCTTCCGGTCACACAGCTGAATTGCCTTCACCTGTGCTCCATGGCTGACTGGGTCCTTTCCCAGGTGCTCAATCAGTGCTTCAGGCCGTGACTCAACAATTACCATACAGAGAGAATTCTCAGGGAATTTAGCATGACCTGTAAAATTAATATTAGACACTCATTAAAAAGTTTATTCAGTAAATACTATGACACCCCTTAACATATAAGCAGTGTACTAAGGAAGCAGACATGTACAGAAAGTCCTTGGCCTGAAGAACTGATTTGCTAGTTTGTTGCTACACTGTAAAAATTCACAGCAAATAAGTTGCTATATTTGTATGGATACTACATGACATTTCTATGTAAATCACATGTCTCTAAAAGCTCAAGGAAAAATCCATAGCATTGTTTTGGGGATATTTACCAGAAGGATAAGGCAAACTTAGAAAAGTTTTTCAAGGTTTTTCTGAATGACTTACTAAAATTATCTTACAGTAACTTCACTAAGAAAGAATTCATCTGTGAAAGCATACTTGTAACAGTAGCTTTTCAAATGCTTTAAATGTTGATTTAAGGAAAAGATTTAAGAAGTGGTAACCAACAGTAATGGCTTTGAACCTGGTCACTGCCTGACCCAGTGATTCAGCACCTGGTAGGAAGGCAGGGCCAACCCAGGGTAGCTCAGGTGTGTGCAGTGCCCCTGAGTGACTGGAAAGGCTGGAGCCAGGATCTAACACTTCCCAGTCCTCATTTAAGGGTTGGCAGTGGAGGTAAGAGTATCTTGCTGAAGGTCCCTATCTACTTGAGGCCTTATGAAGGTAGGTAGTTTCTTTCTTTTATTTCTATGCTGATGGCTGTTGTATTCGAGCAAGTTCTTTTTTTGCTGCAGCTCAGGACCTTGCTGTTGTTACTGTGTTTTCTTTCTGTTGTATTATGTATTTCCATCATAAAAAGCTTTCTGATTTGTGTGTAATGATTTGCTGAAGTTATTCTTACTCTTGAAAAGGTTGATTGGACTCTATTGCTGGATGATTGTTTGTTTGTTTTTTCTAAAGCAATAGCTGCAACTCTGTGTTGACTGTTTCTTGTTGTTTTGTACGGGGAAGAATACTGATGTGATTATTGCTTCTCCTGCTCTGTAAAGTGAGGCAGATGGTAAAGCAGATATCTCTAAGGTGGTCATCGCTAGAGTGCCAAAGAAAAATGCAAAGTGGGTAAGTTATCTTAAAGAATTCTTTAAGGCATACTTGCTACGATGTCCAGGTTTAAGCTTATAGTCTGTATGCTATGATTTAACTTCATAAGTGTTCTACTAACTGGACTAAAAGTTACTAGAAACTTTTTCTATTTATTATCTTTAACATAGATTTTTGTTGAGATTCTTTTCCTTAAATAAAAGATTTGAAGTCTATGAGGTGTCTGTATTATGGCCTAGAATCCATGAAGAAACTAGGATTAAGGTAAGGAAAGACACTTGATATTAGAGGTTTTGACTTGTAAATCAGTGTGTACAATTCATCCCTAAAGTAAACTGTATCTCTAACTCCAAAGGAATGCTGTCAAGCTGATAGAAAAGACAATTAGATGAGTTTATTTTCTATTTGTCATCATGTTGTTGATATTTTGCTTTATCTACAGTACATTTAGGCTTCATACAAATTAGAAATAATGCAATGAATAAGGCTATTTTTTGTCAATGCTTACAGTCGGTCAAAGAGCTTTCTAAGAACTGACCTGAACAAATCTAACATGACAATGTATCTATTTGCCAAAAACAAAATTTATTCAGGGGACTCTAATGCATTTAACACAAAAGAGATGTTGTAGTTCATTCATTTCCCAGTCAACAGCTGATACTGTTGAGGTTGGTGATCTTGAGCATTGTACAGGAACCAAGTTCTGATATTGAACTATATGCTCCAAAGTGTTCTTCCACTAGTGCTGCCTGCTGACATGCTGGCTTCTGACATGGTGGGGAGGAAACCTTCTGCAGAATGAAAAGGGCTAGGCTGTAATTTAGGAAATTTTGCAAACAGAAATTGTACACTGGAAAACACTGTTTTTTAGCTAACCAAGTTCATAAAAGACAAGGATAAATACAGCTGTAAAAGCTCAGGAGCTTCCCTGGTGAGCAAGCTCTGTATCAAGACAGCTAAATTAAATAGGAGAACTCCAAACCAAGCAACTGAGAGTAGCTAAATAGTATCAATTATCATTGGCAGGCCTTTTTTAATAAATTTTTTTTCTGAAGTTTATTTTCTATCAAAACAATGTGTTTTTTTTGTTTGTTGTTTTCATGGAAAGAAAACAAAATGGTATAACTTGATGTTAAACATAGTATTTTAACTAGCAAGTTTATCAACATCATAGCTTACTATTGTTTATCAACGAAAGAGGTTTTAATTTACTAAACCCCAAGTAATTAAAACAGGAAGGCAATGCTGATAGAAACAAATAAATGAAATAACGCAAACCACAATGCACTCAATTTCTAGCTATGCATCTAGTGTAGCAACAGAAGATGAAAATCAAGCTGGCTGGGGCCCAAAGTGTTGATAGTAGAAGGAGGAAAGGGATCTAGAGAGGGACAGTTTAAAGTAAGGAAAAGATTATCCTGTTGCACCTTCCAGTGGATTTGGTAACCAAGTACAACATATTTCTGTTTCTGTTCTCTGGGGCAGGTGGAAAATGGAGAGAGAGATTCTGATGTGACTCTGACTGAATCTGAATGATACAGATGAAGCCAGTTCTCTCCCATCTCATTACAATAAGTTGAGGTTATTTGACCCTTTTATTCAGAGCAGTTTCTGCCACATGTGGGACTGCACCACTGTGGTCCAGAATGGATGGAAAATTACAGCCATTATGTGTGGAAGGCTGAGCTAGGATGGCTCAGCTGCTGCCTGGGTCACGAAGGGAAATTTTCTTGTATCAAAGTGGGATTGTGACAAACTATTTCAGGAAACAATGGAGGCAGGCAGTCCAATATAGCAACACACTTTCAAACAGGCAAAAGCTCTTTACCTGGACTGTCATTGAACTGAGACAAACACACATAGCAGTACTGTATTGCAAAATGTATCCCTCATAATCTGCCCATCTTTAAATTAATGCTATCCTTTTAAATCATGTAGAGTGCCTATTCCTCTAGAGTACAGTTCTCGAGATGGGGGGGGGATTCTGCCATTTTTATCAAAATGCTTAGTTTCTAGATTGACTTTAAGCTGTGTGGCTAAATCAGTGCTCCCCTGGCATGGTATTTTGCATCATATACTGTTCCCCCTGTTATGCAGTTTTCTAGATATCACTTGAAATCAGTCAGGTGGTGAAGTCACAATACAGCTGCTATAATCCTCTATTTCTTGCAATACATGTAACATTTTCCTTGTCCTATAATATTGTAGTAGAACAAGTATATAAACTATAATATTTTATAAGTTAGTCAGAAAACATAGGATTTGAACAAAGTCTTGGGATTAAATCTGTAACCCATCTTGTAAGGCTTTACAGTCTATTGTTCTATTGTACCTTGACTCAGCCTCTGGGATATTAGAAAAAGAAAATTTATTTCATAAATGCTATGTGTTGTCCTCAGTAGGACTGTCAGCATTTACATACTCTATGACTTTTAAAAAATAAAGTTTTGAAAAATACTTTACTGCTGTCCTTCTGGTAAATTCTGTTTATTTTGCAGAATCTACTATGCAATATAGAGCAAACCCAGGAATTATAAACTGACACTGGACATTAAACAAAGTACAAGTGTCTGTAAGGATGGGCTGCATTACTAACAGCATGAGTAGTCATCATGTGAGGGAGCAGTTAGTGTCAATTTGTCAACTCCTTTTAGCTGAAGTTGGCAGTGGTGATTTTCATTTTTCTTTTCCATCAGTCAATAACTGAAAAGACCCAGCAGTCAATGCTTTGCAGGTGTTCTTTTGTAAAATGAGAATATTAATTAGGTATTTGAATGAAATTGTTTTTACTTTCTGCATCAATGATTTTTTTTTTCTAACGCTTGCCTTTTCCAGATTTCTCACTGCTTTCTAAGCCATTTTTCTTTCTCACCTGACTGCTTATCTTCTGCCCTTTCCTGTGTATGTGGTTATTTTTCCACTCACTGTTCAAACTCAACATTCACTAAACTTAAGTTGTAAGAATGTGTATTTTTATTACAGTATTATTTGAGGTAGTTAGCAGCTTTATTTATGAGTGCACTCTATTATATTTGGTTTCATGCTGATTTGATTACAAAAAAAGCAAGAGGAAAAAACAACATCAACTATGCAGGCAGAGGATGTTTCAAACAGGAATTAATGGGCTACTAAAACATGCTTAAAAATTCACTCACCCACAAATATTGAAGGCTGTTGGCGTGTTTACCACAACATTCTCAGCATGTTTTGTCATCTAGTAAAACATAGCATGGAATGAAGTGAATGCAAGCATGAACAAGGATTTTGCCATTGCCAGTTGGTTTTGGAATAACACTAAAGATTTTCAACTTTAGCGATTAAAAACATACCAGCTGTAAGTAATGTATGTTGCTGAGGAAATAGTTGGATTTGTGTTCTAAAAAGAATCAATTTTTCATTCTTTTATATCACTTTTTTTTTTTTTTTGCTGCAAAAGGCTCAGGTACCAGTGGGGGGGTGGGTGGGGAGGGAGTAACTGAAAAGAGCATCAAGAAACCTATCATGAGCAGTATTTTTTTCCTGTCTCAGAGGAGCACAAAGCAGCAACAACGGAAAAAAAAATTCAAGCTCTGGCACCATTGACTGGCTCATGGATCATGTGAAGCTGCTAAGAAGGGAATTGCACCTGACAGTGGCTGATTTAATGATATTTGTCATCTGTCTGGCAGGAGCAGATATCAGCTGATTAGATATCTTGCCCACAACATTACATCACATTCCTTAGAAAGGGCTATTTCCCATTCTAGCAGCTAAAAGCATCAGAAAAATAACAGCTTATCACTTGTGAGATTTGCCAACACAGTGTGACCAATATAGCCATGCCATAATGTTAGAGTATCAAGGCAGTAGTAGCTTGTATATTCTCAGAAGCTGAGACCTAAATGTTGTTGGGAAGGCCACAGTTGATCTGTTCTCACCTCCATCTCCCTCCTTATGCCAGGGCTACACAGACCAGCAGACACCATGGCCATGTTAGCTCTATGGAAAGTATCTTCTTGAGATTATCACTAAGTTCTTCTGTTACTACTTAAATGATAACCCATTTCAGGTGAGTACTATGGCATTGTCTAGCAACTCTAATGCTGTCTGTTAACAGTGAATTCTTGTCTCTCATTTCATTTGTCTCTGATAACACATTGGGATTGGTGTTGAGAAAAAGATAAGCCAAGGAAAGCCAAGACTGTTAGCTATTAAGGACCTTTAAAAATAAATCTTTGCATTGGAAAGACTTTTGTTAAGTGGTTTTACAAGTAGAACAAATGTCTCTGTGCATAATTCAAACTATCTGCCAATCATATCCCACTGTTATTTCCCTGGCCAAGTAACTGATATTGTGGTGAAAGAGACCACCTAGAAGTCTGTCTTCTGAGTTTACTATTTTTTTAAACTTGAATATTCTTAATCCTTAAATCCTATGACCTCCTACTTCTAATGTGATTTTGTTCTTAAGCAGATGATGCTAATCAATTGCACCCTTTTAATCCTATCGATGTTACCTATTAAGTCACTAGATGAATTTCCCTTTGGATGTATTTCCCTTCGTAGACTGCTATAATATTGTTAGCTGGGGACTCCTAGAGATCCTTACATTACCATGACTTTATGGCCTTATTTTCCCAGCACATCAATTCTTGCCTTGTCTATCACTTCTTTAGCAGAAGGTATCTAATTCTCCTTGATGTCAGGACTTCTTAAGGGAGCATTAACAGGGTTTAAGAATCTTCCTGCTTAGAAAGGGAGCAATGTTCAAAGAGATACACAAAGGAGTATAACGTTCTAAGTATCTCAGCTAGTAGAGAAAGATTTCTAAGCTGAAACACAGCTTAGTCTTCCTGCAACCCTGAGCAGCTTTATAAGCATCCTACTCCTGAAATTTTCTTGTTGCCTTAGTGAAACCCTACTGCTTCCTTTAAAGTTAATTTTTCACAGACATAGTATACTGCATTTTTTCTTTTTGTTGCTGTCTTAAGTACAGATTGGAACTTACATTCCTCTTTATTTCAAAACAAAGTAATTGAACACAAAGAATATCATAATGGCCTTCTGCATTATTTACAGTATTCTCCACAGGACTCTAACACTAGCTCTGAAGTGTCTCAAAGTCTGTTAGCATTCCTTTCTTTATGATGCTCTCAAGTTCTATAGTGATTCTGGTAGCTACATCAGGATTTAAGCAATTTCAATTTTCCTCACAGTCAGTTACCCATGTGTATCCACAGCTCTCCTCATTTTCCTGGCTTCAGGGACAGTTGTGTTATCTCTGAAATGCAAGCCAGAAACAAAAGATGTATGAAAATTTGGCTGTTGGCAGCAACTCAAATCAGAACAGTGAACTCTACTTTCACATTTTGCCTTTGGAAACATAGAGAACATACCTGAAGCAATTTTGTTTCCTACAAAAGTATTTTTGCTATTCTATCCTGATCTTCCTCTGTTGCTGCAGGCAAGGCCAGAGCCCTGACCTTCCTTCCTAGCCTCTGCCCAATGTACAAACAGGTATTCTCTACAGTCTTGCAGGGCAGCTGCTAATTCTGGACCAACAGGCAGGAAAGAACAAAAAAGCATGGAAATACTGATTGTGTGTGTGTGCACGTTGGGGTAGTGGGGGAAGAGAAGACAAAATGCATATTCAGAAGTGTGTAATGAAAACAAATGTACAAGGAGTATGAGCTAGAGAGCTGGCTGGTTACCTATTGGATTTTCTGCTTACCTGGAAATTTATTGCATGCCTACAGGGTGATCTTGTCCTGCCCCCCAGCACCCTGCTTATCGAGCCTGGTTGGAAAGCCCCTGCAAGTCTGAAGTCAGATTCAGAAGAATCAAGGAAGCATAAGCTGTTCTAATTGCTAGAGCCCCAGAGATCCAAGACTGGATAAGGGATTAATAAAAAGAGGAAAGGAACTCCAACCATGAACTTATGTTAATTAAAGGCAAAAGAGATGTGGATACAATTTTCAGGTCACTGCATATCTGCTATTCCCAGGGCTCACTGTAGGGACTTAATCCTTATCTATCTTGACTGCACACTACAAGGGTTATTTGGCATTTCTTCATAAGCTATAAGATATGAAATGGGCTAATAAATTATGAGAGTCCTTAAAAAGTATTAATTGCTTAGAAAATTAGTAATGTATGAATAACTTAGTTCTGAAAATCATACACTATGTTTAAGCATTTATTTTAAATCACGCCAAATTTCAGCAATAAACACCTAAATTCCCATTTTACATGGATCAGCAAAAAGACAGACTAGAGGCTAAGAAAGATTAGCAGTTAGAGGAAAACATAATTGTATGACTACTCCCTTATGCCTGAGGTTTTACTCAGAAAGAATTCTTTTTAATGCTGCTTTTGAATTATTTCTCTTTTGATGCCCTAACTTGAAGAGAGCTGGCTGCCACTTACCCAGCAGCCAGAATGGGCAAAAAGCATCTCTTTATTGACTTGTGTCTGATGTTTTTGTGAGGGCCCTGAATGGAGCAAAACACCAATAGCCTCTGGGCTGGTCCTCAGTGGGAAGCTGGGCACTGGGAGTGTGGAGGGGACCTGGAGCACAGGTGGACTTCCTGCCTTCTACCCAACAAGTGGGAGCAGCACCTGCTGCAGGAGTGTACCAAAAGGGGGCCTGCTCATTTTTGTAATTTATGATGTAAGAGGAATATGGCAACTTGGAGTAAACAATTACAGTTGCCCTCCTAGGGAAAAATGAAGGCTGTAGTGCTACCTGTGTGAACATGTCAGGAGTGAGGCATGCTACAGGGATGAACAAAGGCTGCAGACCATGTGCTACAACCCTTTCAGTAGTTTTGAAAGGCACCAGCAGAGCAGCTCACAAGCGTTAACCTGGATGAACTCTTAGAAGTATCATTACATGTGTAAGCTTGAGACAGACTCCCGAGGGGGAAAGTTGGTTTACTACCACTAATTGAGATACATTCACATAGCCGCAAAATATTCTCCTGGGGCATTCCTACTGTTTGTAAAATAGCAGTCAATTTACTAAGGCATGTGCAACATCTACCACATGTTACATCTAACCCAGGGAATATATTTCTAGGAGTTCATTATACAAAATTAAGACTACAGTTAACAACAACAATAAAAAAAAGCAAAACTGTTGTGCCTAGGAAGACTGGCAACCAGATTCTTGGAGGAAAATGGCAGGCTGTAAATGAATCTGTGATATTGGGTAATTCCCTGAAAGCCTGAAGGATTTGGCTTTATGACACAAATTCTTCTCTCTGGAAATGTGGCCTCCCTGCACATGCTGTGTGGAGGCTGGAGCTGGAAGCTGTCAGCTGTCTGGCATGCAAGGTGTCAGGCAGTGGCGTGCACTAGCAGCCAGATCCCATCCATCCTGCCAGGTAGAGAACTGAGAGGAAGGGGTTCTCCACCATGGAAAATCTTCTAGCCCACTTGACAGCTGGTATCCTTGTACACCCTGTGGCTGTGCTTACTCCACCAAAGTTCTGCTAGAGAAAGCTTTATATTAACACACACTGTTTACTAACACCTTTTCAGATCCTAGTATAACCAAGCTGCTAAAAATTTGCAGTCATTAGCTGGTTAAAATGAAGCCTAGCATGAAGCCCAAGGTCTAGCTTGATAAGTCTAACGTGATAAAGTGCAGGCTGTCATCACAGGAATGCAAGCAATTACTGGGTGATTGCTCACAATTTAAGTGCCCCATTAGGAGTAATTATACCTGTATTAAATTTATTTGTTTTTAAATAACCAGTATGTTACGAAACACTATTATTTACAAAGCTATTTGTATTCTGGCATGTTTAAATGTGAGGCTTTGAAAACGTAACTAATTTCAAACTACTTCCTTTTACCCTCATCAAGCCTGCTCTTCTTTGAGGCGGGCCGTTGTAACCTCCTGCCTTTGTTATTCACCCTGCGCAACAGAAAGCAGCCTGAAAAAGAACTGGTCTCCTCTTGGATAAAGTGGAAACACCTTAGAAACTGAAGTTTCTGCAATTTCAATTTGGCAAGATTTTACACATGCCTCTCCTGACACTTTGAGGCTTCAAGAAATTTGCTGTGCGGTATCTAAATACTGGCAGAGATGCCTTTGACCTTTATGCCTATTGCATTATAGTACTGTAGGAAGAAACAGCAGTGGCTTTGGATCAGAGCTGCAGAAAGCTGAAGCAACATCTGTTGAGTCAGACCTGCTGAGAATCCAGCCCAGACAGAGGTTTCAGGCAGGTATAGCCACCTTGGGTGGCTTGTGAGAAGGCTGGGCAGCTTTTCTCCTAACATATAGTGCAGGTCCTAGGAAGCAGGACTTGAAGAAGAGTCCCAGCCTTGAAAATTCGTGCCTGATATTCATCCTCAGATACATGTTACTTCATATTTTGCGCATCATTGAAATTGACTGATTGCCAATTCTTTTGAGGCAGCTAATACTTGCAAAAGATAAAGCCAAGAACTTAATATTTGTTTGTCCCAGAACAAGCCAAAAACTTGCAATTTGAATCACACCCAGGATGCAATTCATCTGCCAGTGGTCAGTACAAAGTATTTCAGATGAGTATGTAAGATCTCTGCAGCTGTCAGATGACAGAAATATTTTGTCTTCCCCTCTCCATTTACGCATACTTCAGATTTCTTCCTAATCTAAAGGAGATTTGATGAATCTCTGAAATTTGATGAATCTCACCCTTTGGATAGTTTTGTCCATAGTTACAACTCCAGATATTTGTTATTTAGTGACATTCTAACTATCATTTGTCAGTCTTCATCATTCTCCTCATGTCAGTGAATAGCAAAGGTTATATTAGGCATCATTACTTCTGTGCTCTCATCCTTTAATTTAATGCAGCCTTGCTCTTATTTATTGAATTAGTACAGACAGGAAGCTTCAACCAAGTTCATAATATATTTTTGTCTATCATGCTCTTAGTTATCTTTGCAAGCAATTATTGGCATTTTAATTTGCTTATGTGGGAGAGTTTTTTCTGTTCCCCTGACTGATCATCTTTTTCTGATTTACCACCTCTTCTTGAAACAACTCTAATGAGCTCTGTTATGTCCTTTCTGGCATAGAGATACCAAGACCAAACAGCTGATGCTGCATTGTCAATACAAAAAATGACAGATTTTTTTTTTTTTATCACAATGTATCTGCCATTCTTTTCTTTGCCTCTAATGACTTATTTGTCTTTTAGCCAAAGTGATTCTTCATTTCCAGTTTTAAATTAGTGTGGACTCCTCTGGTACATGATTAGTTTAATTTTTTTTTTTCCAGTCTACAGTAGGTTGCATTTTTAAGACTGGAAATGTATTTGGTCATGTTGTTTGATCTGTTTAGTCTAGAGAACTGTAATTGAAATGCTAAGTCACAGCCTGAATCAGTGACTGAGCACCTAGTGGGAAGGCAGGGCCAACCCCGGGGAGCTCAGGTGCATGCAATGCACGTGAATGGCTGGAAGAGGTGGAGCCAGGATCCATCCCTTCCCAGATCTCATTTAAGGGTTGGTAGTGCAGGTGCAGGTATCTGTTGCAGGAGATCTCTGCTACTGGAAATCTTCTAAAGGTAAGGAGCTCTTTTCTTTCATTTTTGCATCTGTGGCTTCTGCACTTGGGCTTGTTCACGTTTGCTGCAGCTGAAGGCTTTGCTACCCTGCTATTATTATCCCATTATAGCATTACAACATTGTTATTTCTGCTAAAGAAACACAGCACGGCCTTAGGGAAGTTATTTAATGTTGTTGTAATTCTACTTCCTTTCCAGCTATAAAACAGGGATATTTTTTTGTCTGCAGGACAGGAAAAAATCATGAAAATACAGCCATTAACACTTCCAATGCAAGTAAATATTGTGTTAGTATATACAAAGCTGGCAGATCATCACTGGGATTCTTGCTAATTAGGCTTAAACTTCTAATCATCCAAGCCACCTTGGTCTGGACAGAGTTGAGGAGCTGGCTCTAGCTCAATTTCTGGTGCTTTCAGATGATCTGGCAGCTCAGCTCTTCTACATTCTTAATTTACACCTGGGTCCTCCTAGGACAGCCCTTAGATGTCCTAATCTAACTGATAGTATGTACCGTAAGTTTGACTTTTTGCTTGTTGCAAACTAAGGTCCCTTGAATAGTCAGCTCCCAGAATCAGCTCCTTTCTGGACTTTGATAGGAGCAGGGAAGGCTGCCCTTCAGTGTGAGGAGATGTCTGTGACAACTGGACTATGAAATAAACCTCAGGCCATCACATTAAACTTCCATCTGATTAATGATACTTTCTTAGGTGTTTTCTTGCCTATCTTGTGGTTTTGTTTTTTGTTTTTTTTGTTTTTTTCCCATTTAAAAATGTACTAAAACTGGAAAATATCAGTAGGTTTGACTTCAAATTCTATTTACTGCGATACCTTTGGCACACATTTACTTACGCTAAGACTTGTGCATCAAGCAAAAACTGAGATTAAAACTGAATAGCTAACCTTGAATTCCTGAGTCAGACACCCACCATGTTTTCAGAAGTGTGGATTTCTCCTATTTAGCGACAAGTTCTTACAAACACATTGCACCAATTGTGCAATACACAGGTGAAAGTAACTTCAGTTGTGATTTTTTTTTTTACTAGTAATGTATTGATACTAAGTTTGTAGATATATGAATTCTTTCCCAAGTATCTTAGCAGGAAGCAGCAATGACTTTAACATCCTTTAAAATGGGAAATAAATTATCACTTTTTTTCCTTTCTTCATATGTTTTGACAGACAATATCCTTTTGATGACACTTAGCATCCCTTCAACTTTCTGTTTGTATTGTTTGTTTGTAGGAACAGTGTTTGTTTTCTCCTTGTAATAAAACTATCTCACTTTGCAAAGTCAAGAACTCCTGATATACGATATTGGCCCTGATGCATTATTTGATTGTCATTAATTTGAAAGGAAGTTGCTATTGAAAGTAGGACTTAGGTACAAATTGACGAGATGGTATATCAGCCAATATTCTTGTGTTTCTATGTAGTGCTTTATGACAACCTGGACAGTTCTTCATACTTAATAGTACAGAAGACATGTGGGCACTAATAATTTAGGATTCTATTAGAATTTTTCACCCAGACACAATGTGCTGCAAATATGAATTAGGTCTCACTGTACCTCCTTAGGATAGCTCCGTACTGTGAAATCAATTCCAAGGTAACATAAAGAGCTGTTTATAAGGAAGTATCTTCATTCACTATTGTTTTAATGTTTTGTTCTGCCAGTTAGCACTTCCTCACTGAAGTATTCATGCACTGGCATACATCTGTTTATGTTAAGACTTGTGTGTGTATATATATATATATATATGAAAACAGACTGTAAGATGAAAACTGAAAAGCTAACCTTGGATTCTTGAGTCAGACACGAACCATGTTTTCAGAAGTGTTAATTTCTCCTATTTAGTGACAAGTTCTTATAAACATATTATTGATTGTGTCATCATGCATGTTCAGAGGCTTTTTAAAAATGCATGTTACTAATGATCTAATAAGGTAGCTTATGCTTTATTACACACGTCTTCTGCAAGAGCAAGGGAGTAAGTCTGTGCTCTATTGGCTGAATATAAATGTTCTTGGAGAGCTGACACAGGTTCTTTTACTTGCAATCAATTATGGGTGCTGGATTGCCATTTTGGCCATGCAGTCCATACATAAATATATACCAAGGGCACTGATAGCAATTCATAGCTACTAAAAGCTGTATTTTTCTGATAACAGAAACATCTTGTCATCTTCAATAGATATCTTATTATTAGTGTGTTAAAAATGTAATGATTTTTGCTGAATATGTATCTGAATAAGATCTTGAACCTGATGCCACTTGAATTAAAAAAAAATAAATAAAAAAATCACTGAATATTCAAGGTTATTATGTCCTATAATGGCAAACTGCTATTTAAGAAAAATGACAGTGTTTTCCAGTATGAGCTCATTGATTTCAATCTAGATATATAATTTGAGAAATGCTGAACATAATGTAGGGAAATTCTTTGCATATTCTGTGGAATTGCAATAGTTAATCTATATTCCATGTCTGATATTTTTCATTAGTATCTAGTTTCATCAAGATATTAATCCTGTGGGCTGGCATTAGGAACAGAGGGTATCAATTATTTATAATATATAGTATATAATATAAGTAATAATATTATGTATATCTAGTATCGATTATTTCCTTCCAGTCTGTAGTGTTTTCTACAGATTGTATTAGGCACTAAGGCATCTTGCATCCTTCTACTTCATTTTGTAGGAGTCAAGACATAATAAACCACTCTTTACTTTCTATAATGATATACATTTTTAATATAGAAATATTTCCTCGCCAAGATGCACAATTTGACCTTTTCAGAAACGTTGTTCTAAGCTTATTGATACAGACTCCTATGTAACATCAACTTTACAGGATTGGATCTGAGGGACAAGGACTGATAGAAGGCTGATTTTGTTTCTGTGTTGCAGACAGTGTTGCCATTACCACTCATCCAGAATTAGCTATCTTTTCATTTCTTGGTACCACTACATTGTTTGAAAGGTCATGACTGAGATACTCACATATCAAGAAATAGGAATGCCTGAAGAAGTAGGTCAAGAAATCATCAGACATAAATTCCTTTGCTCAAAGAAGGATCTTGAAAAGATGGTGGGAAATAGGTGGGGGGCAGATGATCACAGGCTGGGCTGCTCTGGAGAGCTAGATAGAGGCTGATAAATCATCTGTATTAGAGGACAATTACACAGCTCACTAGAAAGCCTCCTAAAAAAATGTACCTCACTAAATTCATGATATGCAACAGATAAATAACAGTCTACAGCTCAAATGTCATGTTAGGTAGAGGTTTTTCTACCTGATGGTAATTGGAAGAACTCCTCCTTGAGACCAAATATAAAAATTAAGTACAATTTGAAAAACCAACAAAAAAATCACAAAATTGCTTTTACCTGAATTTACTCACTGTGAACTTAGTTTTCAGCTATAGTTTGGGAACAAGTTGGAGCCTCCAATTTCTTCAAAAAATCATTTAAAAATCATCAAGAAATTTGCATTCA